GCAAAAAATGAAAAATATTACAATTTGATCACCCTAATGATCATCATCAAAAATTAACTACAAAGATATGTACTTTGTCGCCGTTCATTACTTTACAGACCATAATATAATTTTAGTTAATTATCATTACTTCCGCATGTAACGCAACTTGGCCTGTAATACTTGATAAGTTGCTGCCGGGACAACGGGTGATAGAGAGACATGATATAGTTGTAACAGTTTTTAGATTGAAAGGTAAAATTCTCATCACTGTTATTACCAAAGAAAAAATATTTGGAGAAGTACTGTGCTTCATATATAGGAAAGCGTGCATATTTAAGTGTAGTTGCAACACAGATTGAGACCTGATTAAATAGATAAACTTATTAGCTCTGAAATAACGGATCCAAATAATGACAAGACACCATGTAATTATTGTTAAAAATATGATATGATTCATGGTTCTAAAAATTCCCAATGCTTGCATGACGTATGGGAAATGCATTAAAAACATATTCATAAGCTTATTAAAGAGTCTCTCCTCATAGATAATGTATATCCGCTGAAATATAGAAGAGCGCCGGCAAACAGTCGCTAATCCCGTAGTCGAATATTTTTTTTTTTCGAATATTTTTTTTAATGAAGTCCGTAAGAAGTAAATATTTTTTTTTATGTGAGACAGTGGCAAATGAGCTAGCGGTTCACCTAATTTTAAGTGATAACCGCCACCTATGGACATTTGCAATACCCGTAGGGCCCCGGCTACCTCACTCACCAAACGAAATGCAGAAGTGTAGCACTTCTACTTTACGGCCGGTCTTCTATGAGGTTGTGTTACTTACCCAGACGGGCCTGCCCATTTGTGCAACAGTGAACACTGTTGCGTGGTCCTATCACAGTTGAATAATAACAATGTCAGCAGCAGCGAAACTGTGCAGTGGGTTTTATGGTTCCCGTTACACGAACCGCACCACACCGTCGCCCACCTCTATTAATATTCAATTAATTTCCAAGAGCCGCTACCTTCTCCTCCAAAACACTCTCAACGCTTTTTATGATCTCTTTACAGGAGACGAATTTGCAGGAACGGTTCTCTAAGTTGAGGTACCAAGATATTACACTTGGAACATTAAAGAGAGTGAAAACCGTGGAATACAAAGAACACTTGTTCAGAATTAGCTTTGTGTCAAATCTGGAGATGTTTAGGTTGAGTTAGCACGGCCCATATGTTTTTACACCATCTTCGTAGACCAAACTGTCAATATACTCAATAATCAGGAATTTTAGAGGGTTATTGGAGATTAACAATCCAAGAAACATAACTCTGGAAAAGGCTACACAATGCAGATGTAACTGAACCCCCCTTTATGCATATATATAATTAAACTTATATATATTTTTGCCCCGTTATATGAATAAATCATATAACATCATTACGTGACTAGGATAAATTATTGATCTTTCTATAGGATCTTTCTAAAGGTAATAATTAGCCGTATAAATATTATTGTGATCGTCATATTCGGTAGGACCTCATTTACGTTGTGTTTATTTAGTAACTTGATTCTTTTAGGTGTATCTTGGATAGATAAATATTCACTAGTCGTGGTATAAGCCAGAGAAAATGTCATATTGCTTTCTTAACAACTAATCCCGACTCGCTTGAGACGGGCTCAGAGTATATAGTATACTCCCTCTCACGCTTGTAAAGGGCTCACAATATAATTTTAAATTAATATCCCTTCTCTTTTGAAAAGGGCTCACATCAATTTTACATACCCGATACAAGTCAACAGCTCCCCCACATTTTAAAAAAAATGTAGGGAAGGCACACGGCTCCATGAAAACACTCACCAACGCCGTGTGCGGTGAGCGCCAACCAACATATTGCGCCCCCCCCCCCCCCCCCCCCCCCCCCAGAAGAGGGACAAAAAGTTGGGGAAAGGACCGAAGTTCATTGCAAAGCTGTTTTACCAGCATAATGTACGTCAATACGGTTTTGAGCATGTGTTAAAGATCAGGCACTCTGGCCCTATGATATAATAAGCCCTCCGTAAGCGCCACCACTTTTGCCAGATCGCCGCGACTGCAGACGTGATTGTTAGTGTTTTGGCATCACCACCATTACAAGGTTAGCGCGACATTTCGTCGCAGAGCGCGTTATGAGTCACTGCTCCCCCCAAGGGTATGGTTAAAACGTTGCACGGCATCGCCGTAGCCTTGAGAGGTTTTCTCCCGCCAGCTACCACATGAGGTAAACGCATATGTTCCACCAACCATTGAAATAGTCAGATATAGCCATAGTTGTGATTTTTATGTTTAGCCATCAGAAGGGTTTATAATTGGCAACATATATTTATTTGTCAGTGTCTCTGACGATGAGTATAATGTATTTTCGATCAAGTTTGTCTCACCCACCAGCAAGTTGCCATTATTCATTCGAACGGTGGGAAACTTTACTGAGATTCGTTAATCATGTTAAAACGTATAAAGGAGGTCAGACAGTCTGCAGTTCCGTCATCAGGAACCCGACTTAGACAAATCTACTGAGATGTGCATCAAACCGAGACGCAGACTCGGCCATTATGAATAGCGTCGTCTCCCAAGCAAATGTCACAAGACGCAATGTCACCAAATGCAAAATGCATCAATACAACTATCGCAGGTCAACACTCCAACATGCAGCCTATCCGCATACTCAGCAGACATCATCACCTCGAACCTCCGTCAACCAGAATCATACGATGCAATGATATTAGGCGCAGATCACCCCGCAAATACCACAAGACGCATTACTGCATATAGCCGCACGCATCAATGTGACTATCGCGTAGGTGGCACACCCTCACACCACACCAATATAACTCCGATCAACTTCGGCTCCAAAGTTTAGAATATACTCGGAACACACGAAGTGTCCAAACATACTCTTTCACGATCCGAATGATAGTCGACGTATCATAGCGTAAACACTAAGACGCCAACCACCAACGGACCCCCCACCCAAGCCAAGTAATATAGTGCAACACCACCAGCTATCGATGATATGTCCTCCACTCAAGACATATCCATTCATGGTTCCACGTTTACCGTAGACCATATCGTCGTACAGAAGTATAATCATAGTAATATCTCTTATAAAGTCCCAAGTCATTCATTGCTCTTCATTATATTTATATATTTATTATTTTTTCTCTGAGCCTTCACATATTATTACTTTTATCCATTAGACCTTACTTCCATATGATATTGGTATGGGACGTTCATACAATGTACTTTCACCATAGTACTAAGAGTCGCGATCGACCTCGGTACTTACATATGTGCGGTCATACAAATGTGTCCCCGCACGCTACATTTACAATTCTGACCTTAAAGATCACTAAGTATGGAATTGTATTTTATTGACATAATAGTGATCGTATCTTGCTATATTTTTAATAAATACCCTTTTTTGAGTATTTTAAATGATTTTTAACTATTTTTAATCAATTTTTGGTAATATCATTTTCTCATACTAACACTTATATTTCTTTAATTTAAGTATATATTAATAACTTTTATTGTGATTAAACGTTCTTAAACGTTTTATTTTCATCTTAATTGATCTTTATTATGACTAATTAATAATAATATTTATTCTTATTAATAGGTCGTTACACAGATATGTGCTTGTGATGTAGGAACCTTTCGCTATGTTAATAGCAATATATGAAGTTAAACCCTCAAGAATAGTGGGAAAAGTATGAAAATGATATGCTGGATAATATTTCATACATCCTACAAGAACAAAATGTGAAAGCTTCGTGTAATCAAATATAAAATCAAAGGTTGAAAACCAAGTGATAACTATTACTGGAAAATATTTATATGATTTGGGATGAACACACCATGAAGAATTGGAGAAGTTATTAGTAATTTAATGCAAACGTGAAAATTGTTCCCTATTATTTTGTTGGTTTCTCATAATTCTATTATATGGATACGATTTTAAAATATGAATCATCCTGAAAATAGCACAGTCAAAAAACAACTTTTTTATTTCAATTAATGGGGAGAATTTACAGGCAATCAAACTTCATTGCCATGTAACATTCTCCTGTAAGCCAACCTTTCATTGGCAGTGAAATGTCAATAAAAGCTGAATGAATGAAATAAGCTTGGAGACTTATTAAGTTTATTGGTATGAACGCTGTCACGTACAGAGTATTACATGCTATTAATCAACTTACTAGGGGATTTGTTTTTAACAAAATATCAATAGGTACACACAGATTGACAAAGACTTTGAATCTACGGATGACTTCAGTGAAAACTTTGTGTAAAAGTTTTAACATAAAAGTTTTTAAATAAAATCAAATATTTCTGATATACCTTAATGATAAATTTAAGTGAAAAACGACTAATTAGATAAAGCAATGACTAATATTAGACTTCTAATGTTGAATGGAATGTAGAAATAATAATAATGCATGTTTTCTTATTAATATAATTTCTTGTAAAAAAATATTTTTTCTTTTTTGCACTTTTAGCTTTGAAAACTAACTCATCTTTATTACATTTACTGATTTGCTGACCAATTAATATTTTATTGATATCCATACATATAAATATGGTATAAAAAAGTTGGTAATATTTGAATATTACCTTATTTTCATATAAAGACGCTTTTAAACGGACGGAATCGAAAGAAGTAAATACTAAGTTTTAGTAGCCACCCTGCGTTGAGTGACCCGATTGTATCGGAATGTATTGATTTCCCGTTTTCGCTTTTTTTCTTCCACGGACAGTCACCGAGCCATTTTTTGGTGCCAGGCTTGTCATCGATCGCTTTAGACGTACGACTCACATTTACTTTTTGGGGCTCGTTGAATATCTACGTTTGTGAAGTTTTTATTGAGTACGTTTTTTGCGTTCATATATATAAATACACACATATATATGTACATACACATATATATATGTGACAGTTGTTTAAGTTACGTAAAGTTTATTCAAGTAGTTACATAGTGATTACGGAAATGGCTCAAACCGAGGCCGAAGCTGAAATAGAGAAGATGAAAGTTTTGGCAGAGCGAATAAAAGCACCCTCGATTTGGTGCCGCTTACCAAATGGCATAAGATTTGAAGATCTTCAAGATAATAGGTATGATGAGGCTACACAGTTATTGGAAGAACATTATGTTATGGAAGAGGTAGGTCCAAAAAATTTTAAAAATTGTGTTACAAAAAATTTTGAAGCGTTTATTTATTCTTAAATGAATAAAGCAGATGTATAAACGAAATTGTTGTATGAAACGTAATATTCGCAAAAGTTTGCTTGTAATTATAATATTAGGACGTGAAACTCATTATAGTTGCCTCAATATATGTTTTTTGTTTTGATAATTACTATTTATTTTTAACATTTTCTCTTAATATTAATTTAATATTTTCTCTTATTTCGTACTTTTTTACTTTTTTCAAACACAAATTACTGAGAGATATGAAGTTAGAGTACGTTATAAATGGTAAAATTATTCCAATTCATTTAAAGGTAACATATAGATCATTGAACATTATTCAAGATAAAGAAGGCACCGAAGAATTCCTTAATAACGCACGTATTTGGATGAAAGACAAAATGTCCATAGCAGCTGTGAACGAAGAAACGGAGGAGCTCGCCGGAATTCTAATTATGAGGATACAGGAAAAGAGTAAGAACTGTTAATTTTCCCACTATACTGTTGCGACAATAATGAACAATCGTGGTCAAAATAAATGAAAAGTCAAAATATATATCAGTTCTCGAAAATAAATATGATCTACTCTACCTGCAAATACATTAACCATCAAATAGTCATTGGTCGATTTTTTATGTTACCTTTTGATTGATTTACCATTGATATTTTGATACAGTTTTATGATAACTTTTTACCAGTTTAATTTACCAATCGACGATTTGCTAAATTCGAATTCCATGTTTCTGGTGTGTGTGGTGATAGTTTTGCTTCTTCGAATATATTCCTTAATAGACTCGCTGAAATGATTGCTCATTAGAAATGCTAAATGATTATTTATTATTTATATGATTATTTATCCTAAATATATAATCATTATTGCATACAAGAGATCAGTTGTCAGTTTCAGTAACATTTCATTACTTTTTGTTTCAGGTTCCTTTTCTCGCACATTCAGCCGTGTTAAAATTACTTATAATTTACTTTATGCTAATATTATCAAATTCCTGAATGAAATCGAAAAACCAGTTGACTTGTATGACAAGTTGAATATCAGGAAATATTTAAAAATTTATGTAATGGCTTTGGCTCCTAAGTACCGACACAAAGGTAAAATCAGAACCGCTTCCAACTGAATTTAGGCTATATGTACTCCAGTTACACTAATTTCGATTTAAAATATGTAGATTGAAATACGTACTAGCCGCTTATATTTGTGTCGAAATTCGATTGAAGAGAAATATTTTTACAACTAGGTTTAGGTAAAGAAATGTTAAATTCGGCTGTGGCACTTGCTATTAGTGCCAATGTACCAGCTATTGCGGGGATATTTACAGCACAAGGAAGTCAGAAATTAGCTACGGAACTCGGATTTTATAAGTACAATGAAATTCTTTACAGCACCTATGTTATAAATAATCAGGTATGTTTTAGGTACATTCATAACCATTTTTATTTTTATTGGGCTTTATGTTATGTTAATATAAATGTAGCATATAATCGAACGCGCAGGATTTTTTTCAGTCTTATTTTGAACGGTTTCACAGAAAAATATCTCTCAATATATCTATACAAATGTACCCAGCCTTCCTCTTATTGAAGTTCGATAATAAAAAAATAAGATAACACACCATAAGCCCATATTTTTTTTTTTTTTTCAGAAAATTACGTTGATTAGTTGACCCCATGTTGTATTAACAAATAACAAATAATGAAATATACTTTAGTGGATATGATATAAAATAGAAATCATTTAATTAAGTTTGTATTAAGTAGTAGACAAAAAGATGTAAAAATATCATCAATATTTTCTTTCAAGGTGTTTTTTTCTGAAACGGGTAAAAATTGTGGCGCTGCGTTCATGGCAATTCGCATTCCAAGTGTGCAAGAAACTGTAGAATTACAAATGCAACAATCTTCTCGATTTAACATTGAAGAATTCAAGACTGTTGAAAAAAAAGAGCAAGCAGCTTTAAACGAAGATTACATGGTGAGAAAAGGCTTAAAAATATCAGAAATAATTGATACAGTGTAGTTCCTGATTAGACATATTGCTTAAATTTCAAATAAATATGTAATAAATTTACAAGTTCTTTAAAACATCTTAAGGTTAATACAATCAACAGCTTAAATTTCTGTAAACCTATTCAACAAGAAAAAAAAAATTTTGAACATAAAACTAGGGATGAATTTTCAAGACAGTAATGTGTATGATATAAATAATATAATAAACATAACTAGACTGCGTAAAATAAATAAATCTTTTATGGGACAATGTAACGTAAATACAACAAAATCCAAAAAAGTTCAAAATGTATAAGTTGCATACCAAAAATAGTAAAGGAGTAGAAGGAGTGTATAGTTTTTATTTAAAAGGTTACTTTACAATTTGTTTCCCTTGCAAAATTGATAACACACTCGACATAATTGATCGATCCAGGCAGCTTCAAGTGGTAATAGTATATAAAAAGTAAAGAGGTCCGCTGAGTTTAGTTTGCCAGTTTTTCTCAGGTCAAGGCTTAAACCGATAGTAGTATTTGACAATCAATGAATGAGTGTAATGCTTCTATGTCGAATAAAAATATTTTATCCACAGTAGGGTCGCGTTGTAGACTATGCCCTAATAGCTTCTGTACAGGTTCCGCCTCACAGTGGAACAACAAGAAAAATCAAATCAAAATTCCAACTTCAATCCATAAGTTTCCGAAGCTATTTTGTGCTAATTATTGCCTATTTAACACGGCCAAAACAAAAAAAAAATTGGCAAAACGCTGACAAGCTTGATAAGAGCCGTGATAGCTCAGTGTCCGGGCGCTCGCCTTTAATTCAACATACTCGAGCAACCTGAGTTCGATCCCCGGTGCCGGCACCAATGAAGTTTTTACTTTAAGTGCTGTTTTATCACGTGCTCCGCGGTGAAGGAAAACATCGTGAGGAAACCTGCATATTTTCGAAATAATAACAAAAAAAATATATTTCGAAGATATGTGAAGTCCGCCAATCCGCAGTGGGGCCGCGTGGTGGACTATGCCCTGATACCCTCTGTATAGAGGAGGCCTTTGCCCAGCAGTGGGACATGTATAGGCTGTTACTTTACTTTACTTTTGACAAGCTTAAATAAATCAGAGTTGCTGGAAATTAGAATCAAGGTTTTTCAGAAGTTGAAAGGAAGAAAGAAAGAAAATTAATTTATTTAGCAACAAAAAAGAAGCACACAACAAAATACTAAATTTAACAAATGTATAATATATAGTAATGGTCGTGCTTTAGTTTACGGTCGCACGCGGAGGAGGGGGGGGAGGGGTTTGGGGGGGAGGGGGGGGAGTGGTGAACCCCCCCCTAAAAGGGGGGGATGCGGAAACGTATAGTTTCTGAAATATATTAAAAAATCTATCCTAACCTATAAAATATTGATATTGATTAATTTAATATGGTATTTGTTTAAATCAAGTGGGGAGGAGGCTCTAATCTTCTCTCTACCCCGTCTGACGCTTTACATTCGACCTTCTTACTTACAGGGGTTCGATTCTGGGGCTGATCTATGTTCAACGGACACAATTCTTACCAAACCTGACGTGTCGCCAGTTTTGTTCTGGCCTGAACTCTATATACATATATATATATATACATATGGATATATATATATATATATATATATATTATATATAGAGAACTATGTAGGCATAAATAAACAAAGAGTAAAAATAAATTCTTTATTTAAATTTATAAACAAAGTTTATGGCCTCTATAAGTGATAAAAATAAATCTTTTTTATTTCTTTGTATTCTTCGTCTCCACATATATTCAACTATACTATCAGAAAAATCTTTAGGGTTATTTATGTTATCTTTATAAAACTTTTTAACGACACGCCACTGTGCCTCAATCCTTTGTGTGTGAGTTCCATCTGGAGCAACAAAAGGATTGTCTGGGTCCGAGTGATTCACCTTTTTATGGATGTATCCATAAGAACCCAGACAATCATATGCACGCCAGCAGTCTGTATGTATAATTGACCCCTCAATCACATGCTTCTGGATCAGGGGCACCAACACTTCTGCTGAGCGCACATCTCCGGGCAAACTTCTAGCCGAAGGTCTTCACTCCCATCTTCAATAAGTCCAAGGACCCAATGGCCTTCAATGTGTCGTCCTAGAACAAATCACAAAAATATTATTTAAAAAAACAATTCAAATATAAATAATATCCGTCTCCATGAACTCGGTTTCGCCTTAAACATTTTGTATATCAATATATATTATTTACCTACCCAGCTAGGTCAATTGAGTCCTGCTATGTAGGGCCAGTATTTCTGGGTGGTTATAAAAAAAATAACCACGAAGGCTAAGGCGGGAGCTTCGCTCCCGCCTTAACCTTCTAACCTAATCTGTCCGAGTCGGATTGCTCTGAATCGGGCTGTCAAACATGATATCAAAGAACTTAGCCAACTTAAAAGACCATTAAAAAATATAAATACCTTTGTTATATTTTCTCTTTCCAAATTTGCTTTCATCGATTTGGACCACCTTGCCAGGGCCACCAATTTTACCTATATTTTTTTTGTACATTTATCTGGTATATAACTACTGTCTCACGACAGTAGCTATACCAGTCGGCTATTGTTGCCATTGAGAGGCAGCCTTCCGTATCTCTCTCCGGATCTTCAAATATTACATTGTCATATGACCATCGGTGGGCAAAGGCGTACATTAAAAAGTAGACACGCAGCATCGATAACTTCACGTTTTCGAACCACGTGTCCTTAGCTCGAGAAACTTTCGAGCGTGCCCGACAGTTTGCCTTTAGTGCATATAAATTGGCCAACATTCTTACAATTGCCATATGTAATTCGCATCGGGATGCGATGATGGCGGCACATTTTATTTTTAGGGATCAGGCCATGTTCTTCTGCGAACTCCACACATTGCTCCCGAGTTTGTAGCTTTTTAAAAAGCATGGTCCAATTCGGCATTTTTATCAATTCTTCCGCGTGCAACCTCCTATGCTCGTATACTCCGTCGGTATAAACAGCCTCAGTCTCGGATGACGATGAAGCGCGCGCGTCACAAACGGCACTAGTTGACGGCTGAGGGTTATTGTCTGCCATCTCAAATAAAAAAAAAGGTCCGTATATGAAAGCAAGGGTCGTCGTTCTTGAAAGGTTCGTAGTCCAAATGCAATGCCAGGTAAAATCGTCAAAACAGGTACAAGTCACAAGGTACAATGCAAGGGTCAGGTTGGGAGCAAATAACAAAACAAATCTCACGCACGAAAAACAACGACGCCAAGAGCACAAAGGCAATGGAATGAACAATTCTATCATATAACATTGACAGCCAGTGTTTCCTTTTTTTTTTTTTTAAAGCAAAGATTTACCATATACAGCCAAAAAAATTTTTAGGTCTGAAATAACACGCGGTAAAAGGAGATGCAACCATTATGTTGTCTCTTTCTAATGCTTTAGAATGTCTTTATGTAAATGTCAAGG